CTGACTTGTAAGTGTACCCCAAAAGGAACCACGGATCCAGTGTAAGATGTGCCCTGCCACGCCTTGGTGGCTTCGTCGGCATGCACGGCATCCGAAAAAAACCTCGTCTGCAAACGAAAAGCATTTCTTACTAGATTGCTCCGCGGGGGTTCATCAAGATGTCTGGTGGTGGTGGTGGTGGTGGTGGTGGTGGTGGTGGTGGTGGTGGTGGTGGTGGCGGTGGTGGTGGTGGTGGTGGTGGTGCTGCTGCTGCTGCTGCTGCTGTGCTGCTGCTGCTGCTGCTGCTGCTGCTGCTGGCGGTGGTGGTCTCGGTGGTCTTGGTGGTCCAGGTGGTCTTCGTGGTGATCTCGGCAATGCTCTTGGTGGTCTTGGTGGGGGTGACGGTAAGGTCGGTGGATGTTTTGATCCTGTGCTGCGACTCCTGTGGTTCCCCTGGCTCTTCGTATTCGTCGTCCCTCTAGTCTAATCCCCCACGCACCCGCTTAGGCTTAAGGTCGCATCCTGCCACTGACACTTGTGCCCCTCTTCGTTCCTAACGCTCTCTCACCAAGAGGGTCCAGATATACTACCATTATGGAGTAAGGGCCAGAACGCGGATGGCCTTTTGGGACCATGTAGTGTATATGGACCCTCTGTGTCATATATTTATTCCTCACTAAGCGGCATTCAGGGGCTAGTCAGGAGGGGGTCTAGGTAATGATCTATACGTCCTCATATCGCACTGCATAAGGCATATGCAATATGTAGGACCCACATGCACCCGATAACCCCAAACCCTCAGAAGCCAAAAGCTCTGAACAGATTGCCGAGCCTGAAACAACGGACCCTGAAACTAATTAATCCTAAGCCTTCAAAACGCTAAACTCCTAGGATAAAGACCTCTCTCACCACTCTCTTTTCGCTCTCGCAACTGGGGAGTGTTCGTACCAGAAAAGCGAACCTTCGGAAAAGGTGTTACAAATCTGCAGGCTTTACAAATCTTACAAATCTTTGCCACAGAGAAGGTCATATGCAGCACTGAAACATTTAATCGAAACTGCTTGAGTTGAGTTCGAAAACCTGCATGACTGCATGACCTTCATTGGGCCACGTGGACCTTCACCTGGTCCAGCCTGCTTCCCTTATCCGAAAAGGAGAAGATGCATGAATTAGCGCCCACGAGCTGCCAAAGCCTGGGGCGGAGAGGGTGGGAGAAAGAAAGGGGCTACATCGCAAAAGAGTGGTTGCGGTCTTAAACTACGCAAGCGTTGAGTCAAAGACCTCTCTCACCACTCTCTTTTCGCTCTCGCAACTGGGGAGTGTTCGTACCAGAAAAGCGAACCTTCGGAAAAGGTGTTACAAATCTGCAGGCTTTACAAATCTTACAAATCTTTGCCACAGAGAAGGTCATATGCAGCACTGAAACATTTAATCGAAACTGCTTGAGTTGAGTTCGAAAACCTGCATGACTGCATGACCTTCATTGGGCCACGTGGACCTTCACCTGGTCCAGCCTGCTTCCCTTATCCACGTCCCCAAGAGTTGCGAAGCGATTACCGTTCCCGCAGGTAACGAGTATAAAAACGTTTGAGAGGAGCCTGGGAGACTTGAAACTGCATCTCTGCCAGCCTTGCTAAGCCGTCTTGGATGTACAGTTTAGCTGTACGCTCCGAGGACCAGCGACCGAGGAGTCTCACGGAATCCATGTTGGGGTGTTTCCGCCAATACATGGTAGCTCCCCCTCGTCGCAGACTGTAGGGACGAAAGCCCCAAGAAGAAACACGAAGCGCGTGCAGCGCGGCGTCGAACGATTTGCGAAAACAGTGTTCCGAGGTCGGCACCAGGTAACCCGAGGGCTTAGTCGCAGCCTTCCAGTGCCAAAGCTTCTTGCAAACCGGTGAAACTCTAAGAGTAACAGAGTCATGAGTTCCGGACCTTTGTGACGTTTTCGTAAGTCCCAAACTGATGACAGCGAAATCCAAATTAGGCGAGACGTCGATGTGACTGGCTTGGAGCTGCAAAAGCTCACCTGTTCGGAGGAGGCAGTAAAATGCTACCTCAAGAGCCAGAGCTACAACGGGTTGTCCCGAGAGAAGGAAAAAGCCGCAAAGACAGTGTAGCAAGTCTTCGGGCAGTGGTGGAGCCCTGTTAGGGACTTCTTTCTTCTGCCAAGTCTTGACTAAGCGCCACGAGAGTGACAAACTTCCGCGGAACTTTGGCCGAAGGTCCTGCAAGCCCGACAGCCCGTCCGTCGCTACCGAAAGACTTTCACCCTCCTCCCACAAATGTTCAATGAATTCAGCGAAAATTTCATCGACTCCATCCGCATCGTCAGGGATTCGGAGTCCTTGAGTCTGAGCGTAAAGATAAAAGGTTTTGAGGGCGGCCTCGTACCGTTGCTTGGTGCGAGAGGTAACCGTGTTTGATCGCAAACTCCCCAAACGCTGCCTTGCCACCTTTCGTTCCTGCTTTGTTTTGGCTACTACAGTTACTTTCCCCATTTCCGTCTGACGCGGATCCGCCGACTCGGTCGGTCGGCTGGGTTCGTGTGGGTGGAGACATACGCAAGGAACGGGTGGAGGCCTGTTGCCAAAAGCAGCGAGGAGATGCGATACATCAAAGATTGGATCTTGCGGGAGCTGGAGCGACCGCGTGAAAGAACATGCAAACAAACCATTGAGTCGGTAAGGTGGATGAAACGAGTTTTCAGTTCTTTTCGCCTAAGAACTCGCCATCTCAGGGCAGTGTATACTGCCCGAAGTTCAAATCGATTTATGTGATCTGTCTCTGCCGCAGGCCACGGCCATCCACATATGGTCCGCCATGACCACAGCTTCGAAGGAATCGTGGTGCGAAAACGTTGATGATCATGAAGGGTGGCACCCATCTGTATCAGGATGTCATTCCCTTTCCCAGAGAGCAAAGTGATTAGTTTCGGAACCAGCCGGCTCCTTTCATTGCTTCCTTCTTCATTTCTGCTCATTCCGAGTTGGTGCCACGCCAGCAAGCTGTTTGAAAACATTGGCCGATCGCCAAAGAGGGTCAGAACGAGCTGATGCAAGGATTGGACAAGGCAGAGCTTGTGAGGCCGTAAGAGTTGCAACAACAAAAAGGCCACAACTACAACGGACCAAGCGTTGCCCAAAGCCGTCATGCGCAAATCATCCACCAAGGTGGGATTGCTTTTCGCCTCGGTTTTGGCCAAGACGTTCAACGTGTATCCGCAGGGGAAACCGAGACATCTTTCACGCTCGTCTGCGGAAGGGAGGCGGCTACCTTTGGCAGGATGCCAAATCAATTTTTCCGGCAAGTATTGGTATGGCGGAAAACGGTAACGATCAGCCTTCCATCTCTCAAGGGTGGCGTTATCGCACCTAGCAATCCCCGCTGGTTTCTCACGGGGTGCTTTGCTCGGGAGTGCCGCTGTAAAAGTGCTAAGGCACTCGCTTGCAGGATGAAGGGCCCAGCCAGGCTCCAGACATCCCACAAACGGAAACTTTCCATTGAAAGCAACAAAGCCATGCTGATCTGCTTTCCCTGATGTCGGGGGATAAAGCTCAACGCCTTCTTCATGCTCCAATGTCCAATCAAACCAGTACAAGCGATCTCGACGGCACGGAGAGATGACCGACGAACAAATCCGAAAGGGGATGACGTCTGCCGCACGAGTGCAAGCTTCTTTGTCTTGGAGGTTCATACTCGCGAGGTTCTCTCGAAGGCAATGAACTGGACACCAACTGAAAACACGCTTCACAAGCTCAAGCTAAGACTTCATTTCGAGATTGAGGGCATTTTGTGATCGACTTTGGGCTCCTTTTGAGCTTGTACCCTTCTCATCTGCCCCGCACTCCTGTGACCCAACACCCACGATCACCAACTTGGCCATTGAAGCCAAACCTGCCCACTTTAGAAGCATCTCTGGAGTGGCATCCTGAAGATGATCAATGAAAACAACATCGGAAAAATTTGTTTCCACGATCCTGCGTGCTGTAGCTTCTGCTTCAATGGATATGTGCAGGCATACGTTGGCCTGAAGAGCTTCCAAGGCGACCCTGACCGACGAGATACCATCACGCACTCCAATGAAAACGATTCCTCCATCAGGGCGCTCAAGAATCGTTTCTCCTCGGAAATAGCCTTGTCCCACCTGGCGGCCCAAAGCAGTCTCAGACTTAGAAGCGCAAACACCACCGCCCGTAAGCGAAGCATCACTCGCGGTGACCACATCCGAAGTGTTCAACCGAAAATCTATGTGGGCCAACGGTAGCAAGCAGATGAACATGCTCAACTCCGACATGACAGCTCCAGGAATCGGACGAACTCGCGCTCCAGGTTCTTCGAAGGACTGAATGAACGACCAAGTGAAGTTCAAGCACGACATGAGTGGACGCCTAAACATGGCGAAATACACCAAACCGCCTCCCACAATCTGAAGCTCCTTCTGTGAGCACCGGGCCCTCCTAAGTAAGGAGAGCGTGGCACTCACGTACTTCTGAAGCTTGTCCTTTTTGGGGCGGCACCAACCGGCAGAGCCTTGTACATCAGCACCTTGCACCTCCGCCTCTCTCTCTTGTTGGGCCGATTTTTTGGGGTTCAACGGGATCCCGCTGGCCTCGTAAGCAGCGATCAAAGGAGATACCTCCGAAGAGGGCTTGCCCTCAAGCAACATGGCCATGTCAGGCGAGGTCTTTTGAAGCACATCCAAGTTGTCCAAATACACACGCCAAACCGGGTTGCTCAACGGGAAGGTGCGATCCTTTCGAACTTCATTGAAAGGACCCAGCTGTTTTATGGGCCCCTGAGCCTTCTTCAGAAAGTTTCTGTGCAAATGCTGGGCTATCCCAACGGAATTCAAGTACCCCATCGGAACGACTTTCGCGGCCAGGTAACACTTTTCATTTGTGCCTGGGGGAACAAGATCCGGGGGCACCGGTTTGCCGAAACCGAGGAAAGGGTACCATGCGCATGGAAGTCGGAAGAGGTAGAAGAAACATCTGATATCCTCTGATGAAATCACCAACTCTTCTGAAGGATGAAGCTGTAGTGAACTCATCTGGTGAAGGAGGGGAAGTGTCCCGACATCACCTGAAACCGGCACACTGATAGAGTTCAGCGGGATGAGGTTCATGATCAGCCTGTGAATGGCGATACCTTCACAAACTTCTCCCTTTTCGACTCCAAACATCCCGTTGAGCAGAGGTTCTCCGCCAGGATGGCAAAGCGCTGACTCGGGTAGTATCGCGCAGAGATTGTAGTTAACCAGTCCTCTGGCCAAAGTGTCCCAATCTTGATCCAATACCATAACCCTCGAAGACTTCACGGGACTATCTCCCCAATTTGGAACCAAATATTTCGAAGGTGAGAGCAATAGATCCAGAACCCCATCCTCAGCTAAGTCTACTGCGGCAATGGACGCGATAGACCCTTGAGGCAGTGCTGGTTTCACATTAGCCCATGTGGTCCATTTTGCAGTGCGGACTTCTTCATTGGCATAGCTCAAGCTGCGACTCTGCAAGAACACGCTCCAGTCAAACTTCTCCAAAACAAAAGGATGATCAAGGAAACAATCAACTCGTGCCGAGAGGTAGTCCAAAATCTCGCTCTGCAATGGCGTGGCGGTGAAGCTCTGCATAGGGCAATGCATCCCACCGTTCAGGTAGTTCAGGCCAACAATCACCAGGAAAAACCAAACACTTCGTGCGTCTCTCTTTTTCACCGAGTCTCTCAACTTTTGAACGCTGGGCAGGGGCAAAGGGAAAACGCTGGCTCTCTCACTCTTTCCCTCTGCCATAGTCGCTTCTCCCCAGTTGCAGAACCTTTTCACACAATCACCAAAACCAAATATTTCACTGCCCAGCAACAAGCCCAAAACATCCAGATACCAATCATCCAAATAAGGACCCTCACTTGCATCAATTACTCCCAGCGGCCTGGAAGCGAATGCCGGGGCTTCGCCCGACTTGCCTGAAGGCCAGGCTACGAAGTTGGCTTGGTGGGATCGGCCCTCAAGGACCCCTGATTCCACTGGTTTGTCTTTCCAGTTCCTTTCTGATTCTTTCCGTCCCCCTTCTTGCCATCCCCCTTCTTTCCTTTTCCTTCCTCCTGCCATCCCCTCTTTCCTGCTCCTTTCCCCATCTCTCGCTTCCCCTTTGTATCGTGCCGAAACTCCTTCGCGGCTCCCTTGGCCTCCGCTAGACTTGTTATCATCTCTTGCTCCAGAGGTACCAGCTCCAAGTTTTGCGCAACTGCCCACGTCGATCCTGCTAATACCATTTCGATAGCCTTCAGTCTCTGTACCATCAAATCCATCGCTCCCAAAAGGTCTCGCTGGACTAGTCGATCGAGGGCATACCCCAAAGTCAGAAGCTCTCTCTTCTGGGACGGAGCGGGGTTCTTCAGCATCACATGCAGACGAAGATAGCGAAGAAGAATCGGACGCACTGCGCTCTCGCTCTCCTCTCCAACATGCTGAACCAGAAGGCGCCCCATCTCGTCTAAAGCGTGCCTGGTCAAAATGCCTGGTATGGTCTTTGCTAGCCTCTTCACCCGATGTCCCTCTCGGAAGGGGTGGCCTGAATCCTCGGAGTCCAGGGTGCCCCCGCTGCTGCTGGAGCCCGAGCTGTCCAAGTTGCTTCTGCTGCTGTGACTGCTGCTGTTGCTTCTCTTGCTCTTCCGTTTCTTCTTGGAACCTTTTTTCTTCTTCTTGCGGCGGTTTCGCAAGATCCTCCGCACTGTAAGCTTGCTGTCCAAGGGTGTCCCCTCGAAGGTGTTGTTGCCCGTCTTTCTGGATGTCTTGTTGGACTCCCTCCTTTTGTCTTGCTTTGAAAGGTCTGGGGGGAGAGGGGGAAACCCTTTGTTCACGTCTTTCAACGAAATCTCCTGGAGCTCTCGAGCGAGATCTCCCGTGCCTACTCCGGTCCCTTCTCCGATGCCCTCTAGATTCCTTCCCCAAACATCCCCTGGTGCCTCTCTGCGCACGGTCGTCCCGTGCAGAGAACCTCGAGCGAGGGAGGTCTGGGGGCAGCCTGCGGGGCAAAGGTGAACGCTCACTTCGGGAGGACTTCCGCACTTGATCGACTCCATGGCCCAAGCTTTCAATTCGATATTGTTGGTTCCTTTGAGTAGAACTGTCGCATGGCTTCCCCCTCTCCCTGTGGTAATGTACTCCAAACGCCCTAGAAGCTGACATGGTGAACCCCAATAATCTCCTGAGAAGACGTAGTCCGTCCCGTAATCCCAAAAGCTTGATGGCACCGTTGAGACACTCAAGCTCTCTCCACGTTGTGCTCGACCCTTGTAGTCGAAATACTTCCGAACCCTACCTCCTAAAAAAGGAGACAGAGCAGAAGTATCCTTAGTCCGAGGACGAGAACTCCTGTTGGAAGGCCGCCTCAAAATGCCACGAGGTCCCATATATAATCTGTCCCGGAAAAGAAAAGGTACGATAAGAAGAAAACCCAAGCTGGCCCGGCCTTCTCAATCAGCGTCGGAAGACACGCTCTCGCTCCAATCAAAAGCTTCCGCTTCCACGTCAGCGTGGCGCAATCGAGCAGCCTTGACCCTTGAATCTTGCCACTCGCGCCGCTTATGTCCCTTGTTCTTCTTCTTGCGTTTCGGCTTGCGAACAGCTTCACTGCTATGGCTCTGCACAGGCGCACTACTCGAGGCCGGATCTGATCTAACAGCTGGGGGCTCCTTGGCTGAGGCCTGTAAGCTAACCCTAGCAACATCAGCCCACCTTTCCCCTGCTGGAGGATCCAAGTTAACAGTAGTATTAATCGGCAAAGAGCCCCCAAAGTTTCTTAGATCTCTGAGTCGCGCTTCTAGATCGTGTATCAGGCTCAAGATATTCGGAGCAGCAACTTCCGGAAGCCGATTGCAAACACCTCGAACCCTGTCCAACGCACGACAGATGCCGCACGAGTAAACGCCTGAACTCAGAGGTCTAAGCTCTACGCTAAACTTGCCACAGAAATGGCACTTATCATCCGACATCTCGAGAAAGAAAGGGGCTACATCGCAAAAGAGTGGTTGCGGTCTTAAACTACGCAAGCGTTGAGTCATGGCCGGTCTCCAAACAATTTTCACAAGTTTTAGGAATTGGGGGTGTGGGTGTTCAAGGTTGGTGTATGGCTTTGCGGATTACGGGGCTTGGGCTTGGGTGTTTAGAGCTTAGGAATGTGGGGCTCTGGGCGACTGTGCTTTGGGACTTTGGGGTTAGGCTTAGGGGTCTAGGTTTAGGGTTAGAGCTTCAGCTGGGCTCAGGGCTTAGAGTCTATAGGCTCTTAGGAAGCTGTAGGGTTTAAAGGGATATGTAGTACCGCCCCGTGATGAAGTCGCTCCTGCCTGATGCAAGTTCGAGGACTCCGCACCAGAGAGGTCCGTCCAGACGGACCTTCCGCTTCTAATGCGCCAGCATTGCAGGCTTTGGGTGTTATTATAAGTTGTTGGGGTTGCAATGAAAGAACCATGAAAGTGATACAGCCGCAGGCCGATCCTCAACCAATGGAAACCGAGGAGCTTGCCACATCGAAAGCTCGAGAAGAGCCTGCACTCATTCTTTTGTGCCGGCTTTTGCAACGGCTAGAGTTGAGATGCTGAAATGTCCGCTGTACATGCACGTTGGCGGAAAGACATTCAGCATAAAGACCTAATGATAAATGGCCGAAACAAATGCCTTTTGGCATTGTAGCCTACTGAGAGCTGGCCGTGAAGGATGCCTTGACATTCAGCATAAAAGCCCAATGAGAAGTGGCCGCGAAGCATGCCGTTTGGCATAACAGCTTGATGCTGAAAGCTGGCCGTGGGGGATACAGGGCATTCTATACTTCAGCTAGGCGGTGAAGTTCGAGGGTGGGGAGCTTTCGCCGGCATCCCGGGACTCCACTGAGAGTGAGAGCGCACGCATGGCCAAAGTTGAACAAGCTTACTGACAGCTCGGCGTAAGGTTCATTGTTGGGCGGCAAGCCAAGAGCGGAAGCTTGCTCACCGAAGCACTGGATGCGGCTGTCTGCTGACCTAATGCCGCAGACTTTCTTGGAACCCGCGTCGACGTGGGAGAATGCAACATCTGCAGGTGGTGGTGCCCTCACATCAGAGATCTTACCATCACCATCTTGAGCACCCGAACATGTGATTATTCCGTCAGCTTGGCGTATGCCGCAGGAAGCACTTCTAAAACTCGAGATCGCCGAAAGTGCCTCATCGGGTGGCGATTGACCACTCAAATCTCCCCAGCACTGCTCCCGTCTGCTGTTCGGAGCCCACAGCTGAAGTCGGTTCCTGTCGACACTGCGCTGAAAGAGATATCAGGAGCATCGAGCTGACCCGAACTACTGTAAAGCCCCCAGCAAACGGCTCTTTGCTGAGCATTCAGAGCACAAGCGTGGAATCGGCTGACCTGGATGCTGGAAAGCGGATCTGTAGGTGCTGCGACATTTGGAGGCATAGAGCCGCCCCAACACACAGCCATGCTGCTCGATTCGACGATCCCGCAGCAATACCAACCGCAGGACAGCTCACGCAATGCGACCGTTGGCACTGTTCCGATGTTTATAGCATCTCCCCAGCACACGGGGAAGTTGTCCTGCTTCCTCAAGGCGCATGTGGAGGCAGGACCTACGGAAATTCGCGCGGTGCTGGTGGTCATGACCGGAGTCGTCGATGTCAAGGCATTGCTGGTGGTCATGGCCGGGGTGGTCGATGTCAGGGCCCCGTACTTGTGCCAGATGTGTCCCTTGTGATGGATGCCTGGCTTCTTCACTCCCCGGCCCAAAAAAAGGTTCAACTTTGTTCTATGAGATAAACCAAGTGTATACGGCCTAAAAATGTAAATGTTCTTCTATTGCCTATCTAAAATGCGGTGCCACGGCTGGCTCCAGTGCCTTCGAACTCGGCGGTACGGCCCTCGCAACTCTGACTCGCTCGCCTTTGCATCCTTTCCGGAGATGTTCGATCCATGCAAACCCAAGCAAGACCCAAAACCTTAAACTCCCAACCCAAAACCAAAACAAGATGCCAAACCCCAAACCCTAAACCCTGAAAACCCGAACGAGATACCCCTGACAACCAGGAAAAATTGGGGTCTCCGGGTAACTGGGGTCACGAAGCAACGAGATGTCTAGGTAAACACATGGAAACAAAGCAGCACAGCGCCCTCAATGAAACGATTGATTAAAAAAACCCTTCATGACATGACATGCCCTAATCTATGCAGCTGATGGTGTACAACCCTTCGTATGGATACTGCAGGCTCTTCTCCATCAGTAGTGCCACGTGGACTCGCCGCAAAGACTACGAAAAGCCTATAGCCATAAACCCTAACCCTATAAACCCGAGTTGAATAGACAGCTTCATGCCCAGGTATCGAAACCTGTTCCCAGCTGGAGCGTGCTGAAGCTGTCGCAGGTGTCTGGAGCCGGCGAGGCACCAGCTGTGCTTGTGGCATGGCCGAGGTCTGCCAGAAGAGTGGCTACAGTGGCTGCCAGCATCCAAGGTGCCATCTCTTTCCAAAAAGTTGGGATTCAGCAAGGCACTTGAAGCCTGTTGGAGCCTGAGCTTCGCGGAGAAGGAATAACATTACTGCGTCTCTCATACAATGCCGTACGATACTGTAAGATGGTATTGACATGACATAACATAGTCTGGCATACCACGGTCAACTTTGACATAGTCTGCATGTGCTCAGATTTGAAATTGGCTTAAACGTGGAGCGCACCTATTCTGTGGGGGAACGATCACAACTCCAAGATGCAAAGCTGCTCTCCCCAAAGGCTGTATGCCACCATATAG